CTTGTTTAGTAAATCAGTCTCAAAACAAGATCAAAAATACTTTTTGGCTGATAAAAGGTTTTAAATCTTAGTAAGATGGACAGTTTTTACAGTGCAACAAACAACCTTTTTGTTTTTATCTGGCAACCCTGATGCCTGGTTTAATTCATGCACTGATCGTACAGCATCCGCATGTTCACAGTTACGTCCAGTTAAGTCATTGATGGAATCTTTGTGTAAGCTGGCCTTTCCTCAGACATTAATGCACCCCTATACCATCYGAGAGGCAGGCTTTTAACAGGCAGAGATGGTCCCGCCCCCCTTTTAGTTTAGAGGATGTGGCACGTGTGGTCTCAGGGTTAGATTTGTTTGAGTTAGGGCTTCTGTTATTTACACAAATGCAGTTGTTGAGTTAAATGAAATCACAGCACTCAAAAACATTGAAATCCTTTTTGTAAAGATGGTTGACAAACGTTGAGATTAAAAAACATGTGAAAATAATCTTAATTTTTTATTTTACAGAGTTTCTTCAACGGCTGGGACGTGACGAAAAAGAAAGATAAAACCAAAGGAAAACACGACAGCTTGCTCAGCCGTGAGTATTTCTGCACACCGAATTTCTCACAAGGAGGGATTTTTGGAGCCGTTTTTTTCTCACCTCAGTCACAATCTTTATTTTATCACTTAGTTTTTTGTTTTGTTTTCAGACATTCACTTTCAAGTAGGTGGTTTACCCAAAGTCATTCAGTTTTATTCACAGTAGAGTACCAGTTAGTAGAAATAGAAAAGTAAAAAAAGCACGTGCATTTAATGGTTGAGTAATTAACATTGATGTATTAATAAATGAAAATTGATCGTTTTGCTGCAGTTCATGTTATGCTTTTGTGATTTTTCATTTCCTTCATTTGGTTTTATGTCTTTTTAAGCTTGTTATTGATCTGCAAATTAACAGAACGTGCAGCGAAGTGGATCGTTTTTAACTAAAGCTTGTCTCACTGCTGTGACTCACTACTGTGAGATCATTTACACATTTTCACTGCAGTCTTACTTCTTATTGAGTGTTTGAAAGGAAGTGCCCAGCAGGCTGTGTTAGCATGTTTCCTGCTACAAAACCCTGTGAGATTGAAACAAAAACAGCATGTTTTACTATTTAAAATCATAATTGCATTTTAAAGTGCAAATGTGTTACAATGGGCTTTTTATATTATAGTGTTCCCTCACTTTATTTCCCCCCCATGGTGGAGCGAAGACAGAAATTAAAACTATTTTCCACCTTTCCTTCTTCCCTGTGAGCTCGATAACTTCTATTCTGTTGTGCGGCTGCATCAAAGTCCCTGCTGAAYAACTGAGTTGCCACATCAAAATCCAAGATGGCCACCATATTTTATATAAATGTGCTTTCTAGGTTTTATGTTGCATAAAAAAGCATAAATGATTGGGGTGACCAAAATGAATCCATGACGGCCAAAGCCACCACTGGCCATCTCCTGACTGCACCATTGCACCTGGTGTTGAAAGGCTCCCTGCGCTCACCAGAATCACTTCTGTTCTTCTGTTCGAACACACAGTTCAACTKACTTGAATATCCTGCACCATAAAGGTCTACTTCCATTCTCCGTTCAGTTCCAGTCCAGAAAAACACTCGTCTACAAAGTTACTAACATCCACTTTTCAAATCTCTGTGAGYCGACGTGGAGCATCTGTACTGCTTGTGTAGTTCTACGAGCTGTTTATGGGCTTCAGCTTGGAAAAAGGTCATTTAAGAAAACACAACGCACAATGAAAAATAAAGTTTGACATATTTTTGTTGCTTGTTCACAAGAACACTTCTGTAAACACAACTGCAGCGTTCCTGCCTAGCTTTGATGGATTGAAAGGCAACAGAAAGCTGTTCTGAAGAAGCACTGAAGTAAAGTCCAGGAGGAAAGCATCTCCTTCATGAGCAGGAACAGCAGCTGATATAATAATAAAGTTTGTTCATTCATTTCATTTAAAACAACATAAATTCAATATAATTAAGATACATAAATAAATGAAAGGCAGCAGAAGAAGACAAAATCGTATAATAT